ATATTATTTAACAAAATTTTAATTTCTTAAACAAAAAATAAAATAAAATAAGCAAAAAATTAAAATTAAAAAAAACCCCTCCTCCCTTCTTCAAACCCACCCACTCAACCTTCTTAAAATAATAACCCACCTGTCATGGCTTCTCCACCATGAGTACCACTATTTCCTTCACTCCTCTTTTAAAGAAAGTTAGCTATAAATGAAAAATACATGAGCAGAGAATTAGGTCTTTTGAATTTTGACTTATTCCTCTACCACAATTTGAAAGGGCTGTGAAAAAATTTGAAAGCTAAAACCATCGGAAAAAATGGAGGAAGGGACTGAAGAAGAAGAGGAGGGGGGGAGAGCGAAGGGGGAAGGGATTGAAGAAGAGGGGGGGGGGGGGCAGAACGAAGGGGAGAAAGGATGAAGAAGAAGGGGAGGGGGGGGGGGGCAGAACGAAAGGGGAAAGGGATGAAGAAGAAAGAAGAGAAGAGGGGGGGGGGGGGGGCAGAACGAGGGGGGGAAGGGGTTGAAGAAGAAGAAGACGGGGGGTAGGGGGTAGGGGAGGGGGGACAGAACGAAGGGGCCCGGTAGGGGCTGAAGAAGAAGAATAGTATTTTTTATTTATTTATTTTATTTTTTTAATAAAGAAAAATCATCAGCTCACGCACTTAATGTGCGTGTAAATCACTTATTTTGTCCACCTCAACCATATCAATGCCACATAAGCCCGATCAACGGTCAGAAGGGTTTAAAAGTCTTGTTTTGATTAAGTTGAAGTGTCTAGATGAAACTTTATGGAGTGTAGGGACCGGGATGACAAACCGAAACAAGTACAAGTGTCTCCCAGGCTATACTGCCTTTTCTAAATGGTGAATAAGCTCCTCTGGAAACAAATCTTTGAACCTATGTATATTCCAGTTGTCATCTTGAATAAAATCTTTAATAAGGATTTTGGAGCTTTTGTTAGCATTTGGAAACAAGGAAGCTAAAGGTCTTTTTCCAGTCCAATTATCCCACCATACACTTGAGTTTCATAGTTGATATGCCAAATAATGTGAGGTTCAGCCTTGTCTCTAACTTGAATCATCTTCTGCCATGGGTGAGAATTATTAGATACATTGTGTTTAATTACCGGATGGACTCTAGCACAATATTTCTAGTTCATGAGAGTAGCCCACAAAGAAGGGATAGTTATAAACCTCCACCATCTTTTCGTGGCTAAATTATTGGCAATATCTTGCATTCTTCTGATCCAAATCCCACCTTCTTCAAGAGGATAACAAAGATTTTTTCAGGATCTCCAGTGATACTTCTTTTGATCCCGATAGTATCCCCAGAAGAAATTGGCAAGATGTTTCTCAATAAGCTTAAAAGTGACTTTGGGACGACATATAGCAAAAAGAAAATAAGTAGGGAGCGCTTGAAGCACATTCTTGATGAAAATGACTTTACCTCCATGTGAAAGCAATTTTTCGTGCCAGCCATTAAGCTTCTTGACAATACTGTTAACCATGCCATCAAAGTAGGCAGTCTTTTTTCTCCCAATGTAAATAGAGTATCCCAAATAGGTGAAAAAAAATTTCTTGTCCATAAAACCAGTACAGTCCCTGTATCTATTAATTCTAACAACAGTAGTTTTAGAAGCAGTTAAGAAAAAACTTTTATCCTTGTTAACCTTTTGACTAGAGTTTTTTCCTTAATTATAAAAAATATTCATGATGAGATTAATAGAGTTGTTATTACCACCAGAAAAGATAACTATATCATCAGCATATGCTAGATGGTTAGTGTGTGGACATCTAAGTAGAATACAGAAATGAATAAAATAATTATCTAGCAAAAGGTTATTCAGGGAGCAAGAAAGTACTTCAGCAGCAAGGATGAATAAGGAGGGAGATAGGGGGTCACCCTATTTTAAACGCTAACTAGATTTTAAAAAGTCTTTCCTAGTACCATTAATGATGATAGAATACCAATTACTAGGCAGAAGATTAAAGAGCATGTCAATCCAAATTTTCGCAAAATCAAATTTCCTAAGTATAACAGCGATAAAGTTCCAAGACATTCTGTCATAGGTTTTAGCCATGTCCAATTTCATTACAACATTACCACCTTTATTTGTATTAGAGATAGATTGAACAATTTCCTGATCTAAAAGAATATTTTTAGTAATGAGTCTATCCTTAACAAAACTACTTTGATTATTAGAGATTAACTTAGTAAGCAAAGGATATAGCCTAATATAAGGATTTTAGAGATAATATTGTTAGTATAATTAGAAAGGCTAATAGGTTTAAATTTATCAAAAATTGAAGGGGCAACGCTCTTGGATATAAGAACAAGACAAGTATGAGTATAGAATTTAGTCAGAGGCTTACCTTGGAAGAAGTCAATAACAAAGGCTATGATATCCTTCTTGATGATGTCCCAACAACTTTAGAAGAAGGATCCATCGTACCCATCTGACCCAGCACTACTCGTGGCTGACAGGCTGAATATTGCATTTCTTATATCCTCTTCATTTGGAATAACATTAAGTAGTACATTGTCTTCTTCTACAATTTCCTTAGTGATGCAATTCAAAATAGAAGGATCTAGCTTGGAGATAGGAAAGTTAAACATGGCATTGAAATATCTGATAGCTTCTTTAGAAATCTTCTCGTCTCCTTGAATATATTTTTCTTTATGATTTTTAATCATATCCAATTGAAGTCTTCTCATCTTTCTCTGAGCAAACTGTGAAAATAGTTTGTGTTCCTATGTTCGTCTCCAAACCACTTTATGTTAGCCTTCTGAGTGTTTAAGGACTCCTGCATATATAGCCATCTGATATATTCTGCATGGTCTTTGTTAGTTTCACTTCTGTCTGCCTCTGTGTTGTTGATAATATCCATTTCTTCCCGGATTTGAATCTTCTCCTCCCACTTGATGATATTACTCTGGATATCTCATATGGATTCTCTAGACCATTGACTTAGCTTTCTGCTAAGAAGTTTCAGCGTAGCTTGGAGTCTCGACATATTGTTGCCAGTGATACCTCTTTAATAATATTGAGAAAGTCGTCTTGTTTTGGTCCAAAAATTAAGAAATGGAAAGTATTTAATGTGCCGGTGGGTCTTATCAAAACATTTCATAAGCAAAGGCATGTGATCTGAGCATGTTCTCACTAGTTGTTTGATAGTAGTATTCTAAAAAATTTGTGCCAATGTATCATTGATAAAAACTCTATCTAGTTTTTTCCAAATTCCTTTACTAGGCCTCCAGTTGTTACACCAAGTAAACTTAGCTCCAGAAAAACCAATATCTGTCACCCCACAGTTATCCATACAATTCATAAAATCTAAGCTCTTAGATATTCTGTGAGGGTTACCACCAAGTTTTTCATCAGGTTCTAAGATAACATTGAAGTCTCCTCCAATGCACCACGGGCCATTATACCATTGCTGTCATTTTCTAGGCTAGAACAGAAGTCTTTTCTTTCCCTAGAAGTACATTTGGCATAAACAGCCGTAACGGCAGTAGTAATGTTGGAATGACCTTCTTCAATCATGATAGTAATGTGTTATTCATCATTGGTAGAAACAATGATATGACAAATATTCTTCCAGAAATACCATATTTTTCCATTGTCGTAAGAGATACATTCCTAGAATCCCAAGAATCTCATGTAGCCCTCAATCTTGTCCTTACTAACCATAGGTTCAAGGATAGCAACATATAAAATGTTGTCGATGCTAATAAAATGTTTCAATATATGAATGACCTTTTTGGACCTCACTCTCCTAATATTCCAGAAGATCGTACTAATCATGAAAAATGGGTTCTCGATATGTTGTCCACAATCATATGTTTAAAAGACCCTTCCACTATATTATATAATGAAAGTTGTAAAAAAGTAGCCACATGCAAAGAAATCAGGATTGGACAAGAATAATTTGCAATTTGCTAAACTCAACAACCATCTTGTTGTAAATTGGCAATACACAGTCTAATCATCTGGTTCTAAACATTATATGGAAAAATCTAACCACTCACGACTCTCACCAATGTACCATGGGTCACAAAGGAGAAACTAAAAGCACAAATGAACAAGAAATAGAGAATAACGTATTCATGTAATTGACACTTTAACTATTGTTATGCATTTTCACTTTGATTTGTTGATTCTTAAGATTAATTATTTAGTTAATTGTAAATACCCGATCGCGTCACTGGTTACTTCATTACCGTATCCAGATAAGTTAGTTCCCGTCCCACTCTAATCTAGAGGTGCAATATTATTGAGTACTTCATCGGTGAAATATGCTTGAACGGAAAGACCATCAACTTTTAAGGCTTCAAATCCAAATAACTTTTTATAGTTGCGTCTGATTCTTCGGGTGCAACGAAGGTTCGAGGAGCGAAGAAATCTTCTTCGTCGTCCTCGGGGGTCTGTATGTTCCTAGGCTCGTCCAAGATCGGGTGCGTGGGGGTCGGCGACCTCATGGTAAACCGCGAACATTTCTTTCGCCGCCCGCTGTTCTCCATATATATGGTCGTTATGCCGTCCTTCGTGGGAAATTTTATCACTTGGTGTAGGGTTGACGGTCGTGGCCTCATGCCGTGTATCCAAGGCCTACCAAGTAATGCATTGTACCTCATGTCGCTGTCGATGACTTGGAACTCGGTGTTCTGAATCGCGCCGGACGTGTCGATCGGGAGGGTGATCTNATATGCCTCTATTTTTATTGAAGGTGGGTCTTGGCGTAACTGGTAAAGTTATTGCCATGTGACCAGTAGGTCACGGGTTCGAGAAGACCCTTACAGTATGATATCCCGCGTATAGCAGCAGCTTAGTGCACCAGACTACCCTTATATATCTCTATTGGCTTTTTATAAAAAAATATTTAAACAAACCTTGTTGGCCTTACATCACCCCTTTTTTCTCCTCTTTAAAAAAAAAAAGGGCAAAAAAAAAAGAAAAAGAAAAGTTTGAATCCAGAAATTCAGAAATGACAACTAACAACCATCGTTTTTCGGTTGTCGTGTGCTGGATTCAAGATGCCTGTACCAAACTGAAATTTCCAAAGTACTTAGTAATAAGATGGAAACTCCTCCTCCTATCTCCAATTCCATGGCAGAAAATTCAATCCAGTAGCTCAGCTAGTAACCTGCTGCTACTACTCCCTCTCATATTCTTTCTTTTTCATCAACTAATTCATCTGCTCCAAAGAAGATAACAGTGATGTCGGCCAAAGAAAGCTTGGGCTTAGAGTACTGGCTTCAATGGCAAGTTGCCGTGTGTGCTCTAATCTTCATCATCCCTACTACTGTAGCTTTGAGGCTCATCAATAGGCAGCGAAAGGACACAGAGTATCCTACCAAGTCCACTGATCTGTGGGTCCCATGTTGGCGAAATCTCCATCCTCTTTGGCTTCTTTTCTTCAGAGCTTTCGCCTTTGTTGCCATGTCCTTCTTGCTTTTTCAGACTGTGTCCAGCTTTGGCTTCTTCGACTTCTTCTTCTACACACAGTACTTAATCAGCTGCGCCATCTTCCAAATTCTCTACATATACTTTTGTGTATATTTAAAATTCAGACTATATTCTGCAATTCAATAGAATTTAACTGATCTGATATTCTAATTAATTGCTTAATTTCTAGGTGGACGTTTGCTTTGGTTGGGGTCTATTTTGCTGTATGGATACATAATATCAGTCTTCTCTTGCAGCTCAATTTTTAGTGAATACTTAATATGTTTTGCGGTTGATAGCTGACCATAATATGTGCTTGCATTGCAGCTGGGAACCATTATATCGGCGCGGGGATGCTGGTTATATACAAGAAATCCCCTCTCCCGGCGCGGGGAGATAGAGAAATTTCTTAAAACAGCTGCTCAAGAGAATAGTAGCAATGGGGCATCCTCTGACCAACGACTTGGATTTTGGGAAAACTGTATGCAAATTATTTATCAGGTTAGTGTTAGAGACTGTCAAGTTTGGATGTTTTCCCAAATACCCTAGGTTCTGGGGAGCATACAGTTATTGAAAGTGTGGGATAGCTGCAATGAAACTTGTATGAATCCCTAAGTTTAGCAAGTTAGAAAGGCAGAATTTTTCTTGTGAATATTGTTTGGTGGATGGTCTGAAACAACTTTGTTAGCCTAATTGCAATAACAACTGCTTAATTCAGCAACAATTGAATTAAAATAATATAGTACTTCCTAAATTATCTCTGATCTATGAGCTAATCTGTCATGATTGTATGGGCAAAAAACTTCATATCATATGTTGACTAGGTCAACGGAAATGAAACCTTTGGAGGCTGCCACGTGTCGTCGCTATGACATGTTAACTTGATTTCAAAAGGTTGACGAGGCGGGTCGTTGACGAGGTCGAGGTCGAGGTGGTCCGAGATCCGTGGACGAGGACGAGCACCTCTCTTAGGCATGCAGTAACGGCTAGTTCCAAGATTTAAATTCCCAAGAGAATATTCTAGCGAATATTCTTCCCAGTTGTACTATCTAGGGTTTTGTGGCCCATGTACCCTTATAAAGAGGAAGATATGTAGTTATAGAAGGGGATTTGATACTTTTCATAGAAATAATATTGACATTCTCTGAAGATTCTCTCTATATCACATACATATAAAGTTTACCTTTATTACTTATCTATCTGTCTTTTCTATCCCGATCTGATAAGAAAAGACTTATCATTATCCATCATAGTCAGAAGAATCATTGGGAATTCTCACCCTTGTCGGGTGAACTTTACTCTATTATTTACTTAAATGTCATTTATTACCATTTATTGCTTTCTTTCATATTCTTGAGTCATTTATTACTCCATTATTGCTCCATACTATTGTTATCCAATAGTACACGTGCGGTATTCTTCATAAATACACAAATCTGTCATTTGGACATTAATATTGACTAAGATTAACCCTTTTTACTATAGATCTAATTGTATAAAAACCTAGATCTAAATTTTGGGTCTTACAACGATAATCTAAATAGCTAAAAGCTGTTTTTAAATTGATCAACTCACATGAGTTTACTGTTAGAAATTTGACACAAGTTTTTTCTTTTCATAGACTAGTGCAGGTGCTGTTATGCTGACAGATATTGTCTTTTGGTGTCTTTTGCTCCCATTTATGACTGGCGAAAATTTTAAGCTCACCCTGGTGAGTCATCTTTAATATATTTGAATGCTGCATTATATGTATGATGTTTTGCTTTCACTGCATTCCCTTTAGAATATTACTCTTCCCCTCATAATCTAAAGAAAATCTTTTAGTTCAAGTTTCTAGCAAGGCACGCATCTTTCCATGTCCAATAGTTGACTATAGCAGTCAATATGACTCAAAGCATGAGTTATTTCACGTGTTCTATCTAGGACAGTCTAGTCTATGCACCAAATCTAGTGATATCGTCAACTGTTACACAAAGCTCTCGCAGAGGAAGAAAGGTTGGAAACAAGGGAGAGAAAGAGGTAGGGGACGGGCGAACTCAGCTATGATCATGGTATTTTGCATGAGAAATTTGGAACTTTAGATGACCACAATGCTTTTGTTCCCTAACATCCTTGAGGAAATTGTTGTCTTCTAAGAACACTGAGCAGACTTACTAACTAATTGCAAGCTTACCTCCTAACCGTCTAAGAATTTACACTATTGCTGGGAAAATAGCATTTTGCATTCTGAATACCAACTTTTTAATGATTAAACTCTATAGTTACTAGTTTAAACTTTATTTCCTGAAACAACTTCATAAAGATGAAATTCCATTGTTCTGATAACATTATCAGACTGTGCAACACTAAAGTTACAACCTCAAATGTATCGTTCAAAATACAGCTCTAACTCAAAGTAAATAGATGATCCGAAATGCCTGCCCTTTATTAGGTAACAAGTTGCATTTTCCTTTTAAGATAACAGAAAAATGGAGCAACATTAGGTCAACGACTCTTTTTTTGGTAACTACAAATTTTATTAATTACCAAAGCAGCAATACAATTCCATAGCTTAGCCAACACAGCTAGCTATCCAAAGAAACTAAGAAACAAACAAAACCAAATCAGGAACCACGCTATCTAGCTAGAACATATATTTTTGCAGTACAATTTTTATTCTAGATGAGGCTCTAACGTTGCAAATATATGCAATCTCCCTGGCAATACTTTCCCATCCTCTACTTGATTTCTCAAAGACTCTTGTTTCTTTCTATCCAAATACTATGCACATATTCAACATACACCATTCAAAAAATCTGAGAAGCTTGTGATTTCCCTTTGGAATTTCTGATCATCCATTGCAAGTGTTGCTTATTGCTCTTAAACAGTGAAGAGAGAGAGGGACCATGATGGTGGATTAAGAATTCGTTTCTTTCTGAGCACATGTAATTTTACAAAGTCAAAGCAAAGGGAATTCAACTTGCTATTGTAATAATACTGAAATCAGCAAATACTCTTGTGACTACAAATTAAGATTGCATGCTTTCAGCAAAAAATGGAGTTCCATTGTTGAACTTGCACGTATGGCTCTATCAGAAGACCAGGGGCGAAGCTACACTCTGGTAAGGATGGTAATTAACCATCCTTCGTCAGAAAATTACATTGTATATAAAGGTAAAATATTAGGCTGTAGAGGTATATAACATATATTGAACACCCTTTATCGGAGATTTTTTAATATCTTTAAAGTTTGAATACCCTTGAGGAAATTTCTAGCTTCGCTACTGCAGAAGACTGAAATTCAATAATCTTTGATGTAAGTTGATATGTTTTCCTAGTCGTTAAAAGAATTCACTTAGTTGACACGTCGAAGGTGTTATTCTTTTTGTTTTCTTAGCTTCTTTTGCAGGGACATTTTTTTTTAATGGAAGTGGTCTGAATCATTTTCAAATTGCAGCTTATTTTACTCAAAAACTTCTCTAATTGTTAACTTTTGTTGACATGGCAGCTAATTGGATGCATGCACTCTGTAAATGCTATTTTTCTTCTTCTTGATTCAGTCCTGAACAATCTTGTAAGTGCAACAGCTTCTCCCATGCCCATGCCCAACCGCAGCAAGCTTTTTGGAGACCCTTCAGGGCTTGCTATAAGTTGTCGATATCCTGTAAGATCTAAAATGAGATGGCTGTTTTGTGTTTCAGCAATTTACTTGGTTTGGTCTCACATATTTTGTGCTGTGGAGCTGTTGTTATATTGTTTTCCAGTGGACTCTACACGCGTGCTGCTTAAATTGGTAAATAAACATGTACCACCATACGCACATTCATATGTAAAAAAGCATTCTTTTTCTGTGGTTAATTGAAGTTCCTTGTCGCGCAGGTGGCCGTATCCTTTCTTGGAACTTAACACTCCATGGGCACCTTTGTGGTAACGACTAAAGACATGCCTTTTCTGTTGACATTCTTGATTCCTTTACAATTTAGATATCCTAAATGGAAAAGTTGGTTTCAGGTATCTTGGATTGGCTGTGGTCCACATCCCCTGTTACGGAATATATGCTCTGCTTATCAAAGCAAAAGGCCGACTGTTCTCGAGAATGTTTCCACAGGCATTTCTTAGGTCATATTATTGATCTTCCTGCCTTTATGAAAATTTCCCATTTCGATCTCTAAATCTTCAAGATTTTCTTGGTCATATAGGAGTGATATAGGATAACACGGAGTTCAGACTTCACGGCATGATCACTATAGCATTGGCATACTGCCCCTCAAAATCCGCCTTTTGCTAATCTAGCATCTATCTTATGGCGTGCAGTGGCAGGATGAAAAAGTACTCTAATTCGAGGTTGTTGTTGTATGCATATACACGAAACCATATATAATTTCTTTTCTCAGTGACACGATTGTACTAAACAAACTTCAATATAATACCAATGGTGCCTACTCTTACCAACCATGTGATTGCCCAAAAGCAATGCTTAGATGAGTCCAATTTCAGGGTTGCTGTTAAACAACCTACCTCAAGCTTGTGATACTTATGAACACAGTTTAAGCAAAACAGAATAATGACATGCAAACTAATGTACTCAATTATGTAAGAATAAGCAGCTCTTTTCTATAAATTAAAGTGAAACACATTTATTCTACAACAAAGATCAGTGCTTTAAATTGTTCCCGTTGAATAGAAGCTCATTCCCATAATATTGTAACCAAAACAGCTACTAGCTTGAATCACATCATCTGTAATTTCACTTATATTCAAAAGTGGGAGGTATAGGCGAATCAAAACTCTCTAAAATCTCCACCTCTGATCCTCCGCCAGTCTTTTTCTCTTCTTTTTTCTTTCCTTGCCCAAACAACCCTCCAAACCATGACGATGAAGACGAAGATGATGCCACTGATTCTTGTGGGGCCTGACTACCCGGAACATGGGCTTGGACCCCACCTGGTAACCCTAAAGGATCATCAACAAAAATTGGGGCTTCCTGAGGAGGAACCATAACTTTATTCAACATAATACCAGCACCTTCAATGAGCGCAAGGAGTACTCCACCGAAGATCGCGGATCTTGACGCTGCACGTACACCTTGCCGCATCTGAAGAAACCCTCCGGTGGCGGCGCCTGCGAAAATAGAGTTCCAAGGATCTTCCTTTTGTCGGACGTAAACCATGGTACAGTCAAACACGGAGAATAAACCGCCCCATACGGCAAAGCTACCGCCGATCCTCGGCGCGTTCATTCGAACCGCTTGTGTTCCGCCGATGAACCGCTCGCCTCTGGGTGAATTGTAGATTCCTTTGATGAAGTGGAAAGCGGAGCCGCCTACAGCGCCCATGCCGAACGCGCCGCCGAGGTCGTCGAGGATGCGATCTGGACATGGTTCTCTAGAAGTTTCTGGCGTTCCCATTGGAGAGAAGAAGAACAAGAAAAATAGGGTTTTGGAGGGGTTTTGGGGAAGAGTTGGAAGCCGTCATATTTATACATCTTTTAATTAGCTTGAATGACAAGGCAGATGGCAGCAAACCAAATACCCTACTTTGCCTAAAATATTGCGAAATGTTGTTTGTTTGTAGCGAATATATTTGTATTTTGCTGAAAATTTGTCGAAATGAGCCAGTTTTCGACCCACAATTATCAAAGACCCAAATAAAAAACAAACACTAAGTAGGCGTTTGGACATAAGAATTGTCAAATTCAAAAAAATGGCGAAAAAAATTTTCAAGTAAAAATAACATTTGAATAGAGTTGTGTTTGGACATAAATTTCAGTTTGGGTTGTTTTTAAAGTTTTGTGAGTGATTTGAGTGAATTTTGAAAAACAGCTTTTTGCAGTTTTTCAAATTTTCAAAAATTTTCAAAATGCATCTTCAAGTGAAAATTGGAAATTTTATGAACAAACGCTGATTTCGAAAAAAAAAAGAAATTTTTTTGAAAAAATCTTCCATCAAATTTTATGTCCAAACGGGCACTTAGTTAATATGTATTTTTACCTTATCTTATAACTTAAATATGATAAATTGATACAGTTTGATGTAAATTCTAAATGTGACTAAGTATAGCTGATATTTAAATCCAAGTCCCTACTATAGATATATGTACTATGACGTGTAACACCTATGTCGTAACATATATAACTGTATTGGTCAAAATATGACCACTAGATAGTTACCATTAAAGGGGACGGTAAGAGGTCGACCCAGCCACGGTCGTGCCCACGAGGCGTGCTGGCAACAAGCACCACGGTCCTTGCCGAGATCAAGCCGTTAGAAAGCTTACATCGCAGAACAAGTGTAATGTTTGGGTAAGTACTGAAGGACACGGTCACGAGAAAGCACGCCGGTCAAAGACCATTGGATAAAAGGGAAAAATTGTTAGTATATATAGGGAGGCTGGGGATCCAAATAAAGGGAGAAGATTATAGTCATCGTACGGAACTATCAAGGGGGGATCTCTTAAGCCATCAATAGCTCTCTCTCTTTTCCCCTTCTGTGCTCTTACGATTATAATGCAAATCCGTCATAAATGTAAGCCTATCATTTATATTTGATGTATGAAAATCATTTTAAGAAATATTAAATCAGCTTGTTCTCCTCCAACTTTTGTACTCGGTATGTTTTGATCTAGAGTTAATTATGTTTGGCTAAGATTTACCTTCTATCTCTCTATTAATTAGTTTAGTTGAAGGGTTTAACAATTTTTTGGTTAAAAAATTTGGCGTCATCTGTGGGAATTTCTTAGCCAAATTCTTTAGTTTCCTTTAGATCTAGAACCAGCCAGGTATTGTTTCAGGGCTATCATAACCTCACCGCCTCGGTGACAACGCCAACGTAAAAAGAGTGATAGATAAGTTCTTGAAATGAACGTATCAATCTAGGTCGGATCTTTACACAAAATAAAAATCATGACCGATGTCTATACAAAGCCCGTGCCTCACCCGTAACGGTAGGCTTAGCGGGTCGTGCGCACGATTTAAGTGGGACCATGGTCATTATGTGCTTGGCATAACCGCGATCCCACGCGGTGTATACACCCTGTATATCGACCTGTGCCTTCACTCCTGAGGAAGGGATGATAACCTACCGCATGACCACTTGAAAGACCGGGCACGTCCCGCGTTAATTTTATATCACGCATGCTGGATGATTTACAAACAAAGCATAACATGTTCCGCTTATCGTTTACGTATATCGGGCTGGGACTCGGCCCCGATATCCCAACCTGTGAGGTAAGCCCAACACACAGGGAGCCTAGACGCAGTTAGACAGCGAAGCTGAATGTGGCTGCCAAATCAAAAATCACTATTCAAGTACTGGGCGGAGTGTATCACCCTACAACGCCGCTCCTCCCTTCACTGGTTCGCTAGGCTGAGGTAACAGTCAATTTCATTTTGGTTTTTCACTCTTCTTGATTCGAAACAGGAACACGAGCGCTTGCATAAGTGTGCAGACAAGGGGCAAACGCCGCTAAAACGCCCCAGAAAACGGTCCCATAGCATGCCATCTCGCAAGGAATGACCGAGCAACCCCCCCCCCCCCAAGCCGCAGCGTATCACAAATCACGTAAATGGCACAGTACAGATCAACTCTCGTAAAACACATGGTATTCTCCAATGAAAGCAAACTAGGACTCACCAAGGAAACGCACGGCATTCTCCAATGAAGCAAAATTGAGCGGATTGGGACTCACCTAGAAAACGCACGGTATTCTCCAACGAAAGCAAAATTAAGCAGATTGGGACTCACCTAGCAACCGCACGGTATTCACCAATGAAAGCGAAATTGATGGAACTGAGACTCACCCCGACGCGCAGTACTCTCCAATGAAAGCAAAGTTAAATGAATCGGGACTCATCCCAGCGCACTCATAAAGAATACGACGACAAGTAATGTTCTCCAACATAAGAAATGAAACGGGTTACAATTTCGACCTCGCTCGAATTAACACCCCTACGGCCTTCGGCCATCGCCAAATGAAAGAAAAATTCGACCTCGCTCGAATTCACAACAGGTTACAATTTCGACCTCGCTCGAATTAACATCCCTACGGCCATCGGCCATTGCCAAATGAAAGAAAAATTTGACCTCGCTCGAATTCACAATGGGTTATAATTTCGACCACGCTCGAATTGACACCCCTACGGCCAACGGCCATCACCAAAAAAAGGGGGCTCGACCCAGCTCAAACAATGGGTTACCATTTCGACCTTGCTCGAAACAACGCCCCAACGGCCAATGGCCATCGCCAAAAGAAGGTTTCGACCTCACTCGAACTTACAATAGGTCACAATTCGATCTTACCCGAATTGACACCTTTACGACCACCGACTATCATCGAATCGAGTAGGATACGATCCTACCTCGCTCAGAATAACACCTACACAGCTGCCGACTACCGTCAAATAAAATAAACAGTTCGAGCTCGTTCAAACACAAGTCAGAAACTGACTTCACCCGAGATGGCGATCCCAAGTTCGATCCCGCTCGAATACGTATGAAAAAAATTGACTTCGTCTACGACGGATGATTCCACCTAAATCGGCAAATTGGAAGTCAACCTCGCCCGGATCTTAAGATCCGAAGTGACTTCCTTCGGACTCCCTATCGAAAAGGAAAGGGGCTCATCGCCCAAAACTAAAAGATATGTAATGAGGAAAGGGAGAATCGAAAGATACACAAAGGCGAAGCAACTGTTTTATTTAAATATACGTGCGCAACAACAGCACCTTACAAAAGGCCAAAGCATGCCCAAGAAAAAGAGAGAGAGTACCGAAGCTACAACAACTTTTCACTCGGCGTCATCACCGCCGTTCTCCCCATCATTATCTTTAGGAAACCCCTCCTCAACATCAGCGTCCTCGCCGACCTCCGGCGTCGCAGGGTCGTAGCCGCAATTGACACGAGCCTCGCGTGCCTTCGCTCAAGCTTCTTCAAAAGCAGCCTCGGAAACACTGCCCACCTCCCATAGACCCTTGTATGTGTCTTATTGGGCCTCGGCATAGACCCACAGCTCATGCAAATGATAAGGAACAACGGCGGAAGCAGACCCAACTTGAGCCAGCAATTGCGCCTTTTCGGCCTCGAGGGTCACGACCCGATCTCCCAAGTTTGAGGCTTCACGATCAATTTCGCCGATGCGCTCTTCGAGCCTCGCCTCCCTCAGTATGGTCGTTGCCATCTCATACTCCTGCTCAGATTTGAGGATGCGGATAGTGTCCTCCAGCGCTACCGCCCTCGCCAAAGCCGACACCCGAGCACTCTCGGCATGTTCTAGCTCGGCCACTTTTCTCTCCAGCTCGGCCAACTTCCCCATCCATTCCGTAATCAAAGCTTCAACTCTAACAACACTTTGATTGAGTTCGGATTGCAACGACAACACCTTTGCCTGAAGATGCTCGCACTCTGCAGCGACCCCCTTTCCTCACTCAAGCTCTTCGTCCTTGGCACGGAGCAGCTCCTCTAGCTCACTACATCTGCGAATGGACTCCATCAGCTCTTGATCCCTTTTCTCCAACTCCTCCCCGAGGGATTGTGTGCTAGTACCCGCCCTGAGCCGCTCATGCATCTCACGGCATTTGTTGTGATATCGCCGATACTTTTCAAGCATCGTCAGAAAAATTTTGGCCCGAGTCTCGGCCCTGCGAGCACTCTCGATCTCCAGCATGTAAGACTGATGTCGCACCCCCTTTTTTCCTCGCGGAGTCCGGGTTTCGACATTTTGGGACAACTCCTTTCCTTTTGGAATTGGGTAAGAGATTTGAAGAGTCGCCACCTAACGGATTAAGGTGCGTTAGGGCACCTAGAACAATTAACTCATGAAACCAGTTTACATCACCAGAGATTGGGTAGGGCTCGAAATTACCTCGAGGGGAAGGTGTTAGGCACCCCTCGAGGTCCACAACGGTGGGTCCCGGCCAAACTCAATTAAGCGAATTAATCTTATGGGAAAATAAACAATTTAGACAAATAGATAATTACTTTAAAACAAGAATTAGGGGTCCTACGTTTTTTAGCCTATAGGATCATTTCCTTGCAATACTTGGTAACCTTCCCCAAATTGGGGTGTTACACATAACATTAGAGCACAGATCATCATTTCCTTTACTACCCAATTACTATATTTCAGTTATTACCTAAGCGTTCTAGTAGCTTCTAATGCGTACCTTATGCGTGCACTACTCGTCCCTTACCTATAGTCCTGGAGGTGTTTAGGACCTCTATTTTATAGATGGATCTAGACTTATCTACGTTGCTTAAAAATGAGAAAGCTAAGCAACAAACAAAATTCAAATAGGACTGTCACATAAGGAGCAAATAAAGGCTCATGTTAACCTCCACAAATAAACAGCAAAAGCACGCAATTCAAACAAAGTATTTTGGCAATTTAAGACCCTATAGGCAGGATATCTAGATGAGCATGAACAGAATATAGCATAACAACTTTATTAAAGCGAGCAGCAGTGCCTATCAGTTTGCCTACTGATTTTTGGTT